ATAAAGGAGGAGTTTCGATAAGGCCCAATTTTTGCCGCTAATGATAGCTTACTATAGACGTGCTTAAAAAGGAAACATGCCCTCCATACACTCTAATATCGGCTGTTATGCACACTTTGTCTCTTAATGTATCAAGTTCAAAAAATTAACTCTTCAAGTTTAAAAGAGTTAAATACTGGTCTAGTTATACCCTCGTGGACGTGCATACCTCCATAATGGACCCCAACACATAGGCATTCATTAAAAATTACTATGGTATTTTGTTTTCAGTATTTATGCTGTTTTAATATAAAACTGTCTTTATCAATTGTTCTTAAAACTAAGATTCACTTTGGTACTAGTGTTTTAAAATTGACATTAGCCTATGGTTTATAAAATTTGTCAATGTTTCATGGAAAGATATATTTCATATATGTACATTGTTAACATTAACAATCAAAATTTTTCTGATTGGGTCCCATTAACATAATTATTATCCTGAACTCGATATCAAAGAATCCATAGACACATCTTCCTCCGCCTAAATTTAGACATTTACCTCGAATTTAACTCCAGCGGTCTTCTTAGAACCAGAGTCTAAGACAAAACGAGACGGTTTCAATTCTGAAACTATAAATGTTCCTTAATTACATAAGCAGAAATATACCAACTCCAACCGCGTATTGAGTATACATTTTTCAACTCATTCGATATTCAAGAGCTTGCAGCTGCTACTCAGACTTTGTAAAACGTCATCGGTATCATAGCAAAAAATTGGTAAGACAGGGTTTTGTAAAAGAACGACTTGTCATTTTTCTCGAAATTTTCTATTGGAAAGTACCAAGGCCTAATAGATTTATATTCAACTTCAAAAATCATACAGAATGGTTTTGGGTTATAGATTCTATGTGCTGAAGTCATGCATCATTGTATTTACTACAATGTTCCCTTTATTTGGGTTATATTATTGGGCTATTCCAGAAATAATCCTTACCCCACCCAAGAAATTCCAAGGAAAAATTGATGTGGATTAATTAAATATTCTGGAATTCCAAGGCCATCCTATAGAAGGCATATATATTTATTTTTAAATTCCATGGAAAAAAATGGGAACAAAAGTTAACATTAAATAATATTTTGGAATTCCATCTCCAAACAATTTAGAAGATATCTGTAGAATAAAAAGAAATCCCTGGCAATGGAGTATAAAGGGTATCCTTAAATATATCTTATCGCTATTTTCCCACCAATACTGAACATCACAAAAGTTTCCTTAAAATTTTGACCTCTTAATAGAAAATATCGGATTCCAACATGGGAAAGTGATTGTTGTATGAACTAGATGTCGGTAATGGTGAATACTCTCAGGTCTGTACTTAGTGTTTTTTTGTTTTCTTAAAGACATTTAAATACCATGCCACATCTGTTATGTGTTTTTGTTAGATGATTTTTTATGATTTGTATCTACCTAATGAGTTAAGCCCTTTTCAACTGATTTTTATAGTTTAAAATTGAGAATGGAAATGGGGAATGGGGATTAGAGAGATTTTGCAGCTTTAAGCATGGTTATTCTAATCACATTCTGAGTGTGTCTGTCCAAAGTCAGGAGTCTAGAGTTCAGTGTAGGTCGTTGGTTAATGTGACTTTTCAGTCATATTTGTTTTTCTTAAATAACTTTGTTATTAATTCGACTGTTAGGCCAAATAAGATGGTATGTGTGGTTCCAGTTACATTTAAAAAAAAGTTAGGGTAGGTAAGAAAGGACTTTTTTTACTTTATGTTGTAGGTTTTTTCATTGAGTCTTACAGGAGCAACATTCAGACTTTAACAGTGCTTAATATGAAATGGCAAAAAAATCTCTAGGGTAGGCTATTATTAAGACTAAAAAGTAGGGTAGGTAGGAAAACTGGAACCGCACATATATTTTTATTTTTTCTTAGTTTTCTTTATTGAATTGATTCGATTATTATTTTAATACCATTGTCTTGTATACATGTAGCTGACTATACGGTATGGGATTTTCTCATTGTTGAAGGTTGCACTGTTACCTATTATTGCTTACTATTACATCCACTTTATTTTGTACTTGGGTTGAAAGTTGTCTCATTGGCTATAATTCCACATCTCTTTATTTTTTTTATATAAAAGCAACATTAATTAGACTAGAGACAGAGTTAATGCCGTCAGTAATAGTGGCATCTATACTTTTACCGTAATACATTGTAGAACTGATTTACTCTTGGCAAGTATTTACTTGTGCATTATTTCTGTTAATTGTTATTTTATAAATTTGGGGAATAATTCGCTGATGGTAGCCATACCAATTTTTTTGTCAAAATTATATTTTTTTTCTAATTCTCTAGCTATCATTTAAGTTTATAATCATATAACACGTCTAAGAAATGAAAGACATTATTTCTAATTAAAAACAACTTTTTTTCAGGAGTCCTAGTTCTTGGATGTCGTCGCCACTTAACCAAGAAAAGATTCTTGCAGCAAAGAAAATAAAAGTATATTCAAAAGATGAAATTAGTAAAGCGTATGGACTGAGAAAAAAGAAAATGACCTGCATGAATGGGAAGTTGAGAGAGTATATGAACGATCCTAATATAAGAAGCTGTGGGAAACATGTGATAATGGGGATGGCTGAAACTGCATGGGACAGATTTAATGCAGATGATGCAAAAATAGCCGTGGCAGAAGTGGAAGTGTTAATTTCCAAATTACAACAAAGAGGCAAAAGCTATACGGACAAGCAAACAAAAACAATAACTAGACTCACAGAAAGACTTAACCGTGGGAAACATGAGGTTGCTGCTTCCTTAAAGAGAATTAGTACACTAAGAGAAACAGAGAGTGTCAACTCAAACATTGTCAATGAGGAGAAGGAGTTGGTAGCTTTGAATTGTGAGCTGCAAAAAACAACAGATGCCCTAAGAAAGGCATGTGATGTGAAAATGAAAGACCTAAAAAATATTTTGGATACCATGGAAGTTCAAAATGAGGAGGAGGATATTGATTTGGACGTCTCAAATGAACGTATTGTGGGAGATATTTTGAAAGACCATGCATATTGTTAGAGTTAATGCATGTACCGGTAGTTGCATACAATGTCTGATAGACAATTATATTATTTGTATATGATAATGTAAATATTTGAATTATAATAGATCATTTAAACTTATTTGCCATTATTTCTATCTAAACATTCTAAAGGATCTAGTACACATGTCACGTTTCATCCAAAAATTTGTCTAAAAATATACAAAAACATCAGCCTAATTCCATTCCATGAGAGACAGATGTTATTTGTTATCACACAAAAAAAAATAAATATATGTACCCTTTATAACTAAGACAACAAATATCCTTAAACACAAAAATGTACAAAATAAACATAAGATGTGGCATATGTATATAAAAAAAAGAAAGGTGTGGTATAATTGCTAATGAGACAACTCTCCACAAGAGACCAAAATGACACAGAAATTTACAGCTACAAGTATAGGTCACTGTACAGCCTCCAACAATGAGCAAAGCCCATTACGCATTGTCAACTTTAAAAGGCCCCGAAATGACAATGAAAAATAATTGAACACAAAAACTAATGGCTTTATTTATGTACATGTACAAAAAATGAACGAAAAACAAATATGTAACACATAAACAAACGACAACCACTAATAAGCTCCTGACTTGGAACAGGCACATCCATACAGGATGTGGTGGGGTTAAACTTGTTAGCGGGATCCCAACCCTCCCCCTTACCTTGGACAGTAGTATAACAGTACAACAAAGGAACGAATCATAAAAATCAGTTGAAAAAGGCTTAACTCATCAGATGGACAAAAATACAAGTGGACGTAGCCGGGTACTTGTACATCCCAACAACATAGACACTAGGTACAGATCTGAGAGTACTTACAGTCAACTGACAGCTAGTTCAAAGCCACTAACAACTAATAAAAAAATCATGCATCTAAGACTAAATTATCAATCCATACGCATGCATGGTATGATGTCAGTGAGACCATAATAGATCACTACATAGCCTTGAACAAGGAGCAATATTCAACCAGGGGTGACCAGTTTTGAAGAAAAACTGATCATAGTGTTGCCTAATGAAGGTACCAATACTTTTCTGGATAATTTTATAGTCATAACAAGGATTTGTACAGTAAGACTTACTTTACAAATCCTTGGTCATACTAAAAAAAAATCTACAAAATAATATATTTTTTATAATATTTCTGGAATATTTTCAATAAAAAAATATAATCTGGAAAATTAAAGACTAGTTATGAAATTTTTACTGGAAATTTTACATTTTTTATAGAATATTTTCTGGAAATCCTGAACCTTCTATATGATGGGTATTGAATATTTTTGGAATATTTTTTAAAAATAACAAAAATAATCTGGAAATTAAAGACCAGTTATGAAATTTTTACTGGAAATTTGATGTTTTTTTAAATCCGATGCCTCGTGCAGAGAGAGAACGCCACGCTTTGCACACGTTAAGAACCCTTGCAACAACTCTTTGAGGGGTCCGTAGTTGTACTGTTGCAAGGCAACATTTCTGTTCCTATCCAATATACCCTCATTTTCCGGTAGCGTTTTCCCCGATCTGAATCCTGGACGGCCTCTATTACAAGACACACCTACTGCATATATTGTTATGTGTTGTCGTCCTGAACAAGCATGAAATATTTCCCACTGGGCGTTAAGCAACCAACAATCAATCAATCTAATGATTTTTTTATTTCCTCTTTGTATCTAACTTTATAGTAATATAATTGTCATGCATGTCAAATACCATTGGCTCTGTGAAAGTTATACGAAGTAAAACCTCCGAATTCACTTGTGTAAAGAAACATTTGTCTAGAACTTCCTTCATCACTAATACTTCATACCCAAAGTTTTAAAAGGCAAAAATAAGGATAAATGCATAAACCAATTAAATTGGTTTCTTTCTAATTCTAACAGAAAATATTTTTTGCGATAAAGATAATCAACAACAATAATCCCTAGTAGCTTTAATAACACAAAAACGATAGTTTAATATTTGGATTAAGGGTATCCACTTCCAAAGGGTTATATGAAAATCCGCTATCGTATGCTTCCATGAGGGTTCTGGAGAACATTTCCGGTTCCGTACTTGTTAACGAAATTACACCCGGACATGAATGATATTTTCTTGCTTTCATATCCAAACAAAAAGGCTCGCACGGCTTATTGTATTTGTCTGTTACACTAATGAATGCCTGACTCATCCCTGGTCCTGGATTTTTAATTCCAACGAAGGCATAAACCCACTGTGGTATAGAAACATCGTTAACTATATAGCTTCTGTAAGTTCCGTGGTACGTTATTCCATTCGATTGAACTATAGCCATAGATTTTGAGCATAGATTATCATGTCCGAAACCTAAATACTCACATCCTGCTATCACGTTTTTCCTGATAAATTTGTGGAGTGCATTACGAACAATTATTTTAATGGGAACATAGACCCAATCATTTTCATCTCCAGAGAGAACCGTCAATCCATTTTGCGGTGTAGATAAATGGTTTGTTGTTATTCGCCTTAGGGGTTCGAGAACCCGTCTTCGTGGTTCGTTCGCCTCTATGCTTACACATTTGTCTGAAGAATAATCACATTTCAGGAATGGAGAGTTCAGACATGAAGGACATTTTGCAAATTCGTCGTACTTATAGATATGATTTGAAAAATAATCGCTATATCCATCGATATTCCTCATTGGAAATAGACGATCCATAAATCTATAAGGTTTGTGAAATAGACTATCGATAATGGTGTAATCATCTTGTGGATCGATATTACGATGACGTAACTGCTGACAAAATTTTTCCCAAACTGCATCAATAAAAGCATGATGAATCCAGAAAAACGGATCTTGTGAACTAGTATTGAAATTGTTCATTTGACCACCAATGAAGGCATGCACCAAATTATGCATATTTTCAACATTTGTATCAGGGTCTGATGTAGGCGTGGTTATTTGGAAGTGGTGTTTTTTCGATAACATACCATCTATAAATTTATAAGAAATAGGTTTCCCAGTTTTACCAAGATCTCGAACCAAAGGAATATTTCGTATTGTCTTCCAACCTGCAAATGGTCCTACTTTTATTGGACCTTTACCGTTCCCAAAGAAATCTGATGTAAACATGACGGATTTTGTAGGGTCTCTCATGTGATGGTCCAACCTTGAATCCCAGTAACATAATGTTACATTAGGGTTAACTCTTCGGAGAAGCTCTTCAAATCTACAATTAATATACATTCATTGTTGTTTACGTGTATTTCATCTTGCTAATATATGAGGTACAATGAATGGTATTTTAAAACTCTTCAACTTTGTATTTGATGTGGCCTGTTAACTGTTTTGATTCGAGCGCCAATGATGGGTCTTACGTACACAAAAGCGCTTCTGCCAAACTATAAGCCTAGTATCTTTGTTGATATTTTGTTTCTTCAATTCACTTCATTACAAGTAGGTTACGTTGATACCGAGTGAAAGCTTTGTTTAAGACTTATTCTTATTGTGAATTGTGGAAAATACAGATGGGGAAAACGATACCTACGAATCATTCAACATCTATAACTCGATGAGAAACTGAAACCGTCATAACAAGAAACAAAAAACGAGGAAAAGACAAACAATTACCCATGAAACTACATAAAAATTAGAAAATGAACTAACGAACGCGAACCCTAAACTGATAACGTAATGGATCGCATGTGCTCCGGAGGGGATTGTAAATCCCATTCTTCGTGTGACACCCGGCATCGTATTCCTATAAAATACGTCAATAAAATACAGCATGCATTAAAAGGATGAGATCGCACTGTAAATCTAAGAGAAGTGATTGTGTTATAGACTTTTTTTATTAATATCAAGGTAGACTTATGTTTAGTAAGTAATTCAGATAAACTAGAAATTTACGTCGATGAAATTTGAACAAAGGCAGGACAGGAGTTTTGAGTAAAAAAAAAGGCATGATGACAATTAATGTAAATAAAAAGTCAGGATAAACTAATAAAAAAAGGCAGGACCGAATAGAGTGAAAAATAAAAAGGCAGGACAGAGATTACAACTAAAAAAAAATGCAGGACAAAATTTTTCATCCTAGCCCCATAAAAATCAAATGGTAGCTCCCTAACTGGTTCGTTTGGAGGGTCACTCCTGAGTACTATAGAGACGAACGCGTGTCTGGCATGTTGAATAATAAGTCTGGTGTCTGCTGAGTTATAACATTATAAAGCTATTCATGAAGCACTTTTATTTAATTACACTAGTTACTTAGCCTAGCTTTTCATTTTGCTATCTGTCATTAAAAAAACAATTGTCATATATATATATACTATTTGCAATTGTGTTATAACATTTGTTTCAGTCTAAGAATAAACAGCTGCATCGTGCGCATTATACAACGGGCTCACTCCCTTCTTTTAATCAGTTTTCATAACTCTAAATATTAAAACTTCAAAGTAAGATTGTTATACAAAATCAATGGATTACGTTTAATAGCAAGACACACAGAAAATTGTTAAACATTTAAAATAATTTCAAATATCTGTATGAAAAAAGCAATTACAGTTCGGAATTAAATTCAAAATTGAAATGGAACCTGTCGTCACAGAACTAAAAAACTGTGTTACAATCAGCAAGGTACGCCTCAGTTATCACGAGACGTGCTTCAAATTGTGCATTTCAAAAATAGTTTATTCAAATAGCAATTGATGAAAAAGAGTAAAGTTTAAAAAAAAAATATATCGTTATAGATAAAGGCAATAGTAGTATACCGCTGTTTAATAGTCATAAATCGATTTAACTGAAACAAATCCGGCTCACAAACCAAAACCGAGGGAAACACATCAACTATAAGAAGAAAACAACGGAACAACATACACACTGAACTTCTACAAAAACAAACGCCAACATACATAAAAACGGACTATTTGATAACTACTGCCATATTTCTGACTTGGTACAGGATATTTTAAGAAAAAATGGTGGGTTAAACCTGGTTTCATAGCTAGCCAAACCTCCCGCTTATATGGCAATGTTAAAATACCGCTAAAATGACAACATTACGCGACAGGAAAACATTACAACTAAGCGCAAGAACACTCAGGACAGAGACAACTGAGACATACATAAATAAAGAATATAATAGTACATAACAACATGTAAACCATAGAATAACAACGGACACCTTTCATTTACACCACAATAGAATTATAAACTGTGCGTCACACGAATGTACCAACGCCACAAAAAGTGACGTCACATGTGAATTTCTAAAAATAAAATATAAAATCGGGATTAAGTTTGTAATGGTGTTATTTTATGTATTTTCTAACCATTACAAGAATATTAATATAGAATTGTGTTAGTAATGGTGTAATTATTTGTATTTTCTAACCCTTTCGGTTTTTCTTCTAAATCAAAACTGTATATACAAATTAATCCTGTGCATATAGTATAGTAGCTTTAAACTAAAAATCATATAAATGAACTAGTTGATTAGTTATCTTAACTTTTACATACATGTAGAAAATAAAAAAAGAATTAACCACAAACGATAAGACATAACACAATATCTAACCAGAATTACAAAAGAAACATCCTAACTAAATACATGAATGTTTGATATATAAATACCGAGACACGTCTAATAGCAATGCGAATTCACACTCGCGGAAAGTCATATTCGGGAATAGGTCACGTTCGGTACCTAGCAGACTAGACGACGTAGATGGTAAACGACGTGGTAAAAATGTCGTTAGTTAGTTTAGACACAGACACATCGTATAGATCAATCAATTCGTGATGGTGTCCGTAAAATTCACGGAGTGTCATTTTTAATTTGTCCTCCTCATAACTCTGTTTGAGCAGTTTCTACGCAAGGAGCACACTCCTGTATATGAAGTCCTTATAGTGTGAACATGCACGAGCATAACGTATCAACTGAGATATGTAAACACCATACGAATGTTGTCTATAGAAACCTGTTTTCAATAGAAATTTTTGTGCGAAAATTTCTTAAGATTTGTTAAAGCCAAAATAGTTATCGAGAGATGTAATCCGATGTATAGACGGATGTGCAAAGCAGTGTGTTTAAGAACAGACGAACGTACCCAATAGCAGACGGACAATTGTATTCTATAATAAATATATAGGGAGACGGATTTACACTGCTCTTGTTTCCTAATCCCAATTACTGAATCTCTTGTTTATTTCGTATTTATGTCTTTACCCTTGTAGCTATATATTATATCGATTTCTTTAATAAAATATGTTTACAGTAATTCGCTCATCGTTTATCGATGAATGAATCTTGACTCAATGAAAAATCTAACTTTTAACTGCACTCACTTTAAAATATACATTTTATGCCAGCCAAAAAAATTGGAACCAAAATGAACAGACTTCACTGCTTCATTTGTATGGTAATCAGCTACAAAGTCATACACACTTGGAAACAAAGACTGAAATTAAAAACTCAAATTTACTTAAGTTATATTCAACTAAAGATTATTGCTGTGATAATTGTTGTCTCTTAAACATAAATTCAAAATGACTTATTTTTTTATAAAGCATCATAATTCTACATTTAATACGTGGTGTTGTATTGGTTTGTATGAGTGTTTTTGTTGGGTCTTTGTTCCTCTTTTTTCGTGGAGAATCGATTCATTCTGGTTTTACATATTTATCAGAAGAGGTCTATCCTTTCCAGGCACCAAATCTTGCTCCTTTTGTAGTTCAAGTGATTCCCTCCATTTGTGTTTGTAACCTTGGTTAATCTTGTTAATCAATATATCAGATTTACACATCAGTAAACGACTGTTGCCTATATTAACCGTTTCTATTGACAATGGAGTTGGTAGTGATATTAAACATGGAACACTGAGGAAGGATAGGCTTTTGACTTTTAACATATATACTACTATTGTGCCAAGTTTTTAGTCTTCTCGACTATAAAGTAAAGACCCCGTTGGGAGCACGGGATTGATGCTATGACAAGTGGTCTACATAGTCAAAACTTTGTCTGTTGGGTTTTCGGTTACATGATTGTATCTCAGATATGATGACAATTTGCTCCCGTGTCTTCAGTATTTGCAACAACCATTTACTTAGTTATCAAATGATCTAGTGTCTAGTTTAATTTCTTGGTTAAAATTTCAAGGGAACACATACATTATCTCTAACTCTTATGGTTTTTTTATAAAGTTACTGTCCTTGAAGGAAAATAATGAGTGTCCAAGTAAATAACCATTATACAATGTCTGTAGAAATTAGTCAGGATATTGGGATTTAAACAAAAAACCAGGTCAAAAGCAAATACAACATTTTAACAACAATGAAGGACAGAAGAGTGTGATTTGGTGTTTTTTGTTTCTACATTGACAACGTAGTATATTAAAGACAAACTACCAAAGTTTAAACCCTGAAGGGAAATGTCTTTAAGTATTATAAGATAGCGCGACCTCGGTGGCCCAGAGGTCTTCATAATTAATTTATAGTGATCATAAGCCTATTGACACTAGTTTTAGTTTCGCTAATAGCAGGTGCGTTTGACTCGAATCTTTTTTTAAATAAGGTTGTCAGTTTTCTTGCCGAATGGCGATGTTTCTCTCCGTGTACTTCGGCTTCTTACAACAACAAACTTTGGTCGCCATGATATTGCAAAGAGTGCCGAAAGTGGCGTTAAACAACAACAATCAATCAACGATAAGACAGATGTGCATATATTAAGGAGGCTTATAGCTTTGCACGCCAGAATCATGTTTCGTCTGCACAAGACTCATCAGTGACGCTAGAAAAAAAAATAAAAGGCCAAATAAAGTATGTAGTTGAAGAATAATGTGGACCCAAAATTCCGAAAAGTTTTGAAAATAAAGCTATATTATGTTCTACCAGTAAAGCTACTACCCCTTAAAAATATATGAAATATATAAAAAGATGTATCTATTACATGTAACGTAATATTATATCTCAAGATCTTTTGATTTTCAGTCACCTGTAATTTATTAGTTTTATAACTTGATCCGATGACACAGTCATCGTCCTTTGATTTTCGTTGAAAACAAATATAGTCCCTACTTGCAATTTTTTTTCATACACTTTCCAAATTTATTTCTTTATATTTAATGCATGAAATATTAAGTAGGGGATGAAATTAAATGTTAAAAAAAAAATGGGTGCTGAATTTTTATGTAAATTAGTGATTTGGTCCAGTTAAAAAAGGACAAAAATTAGTATGGCTGAAGCTGTCAAACTGAATTATAGACCCCATTAACATAGAATTGTTATTATTTTGAGTTAGAGTTGGTAGACTTTTCTATAATTTTAATATTATTTGCCCCAAAATTAGTACACTGCAATGTAAAAATATTTTTGAGATAGAGCTGGTGCGATTGTTTTTAATTTGAATTTATTGTCTTAAAGAAATGCATTACAAAATAACTGTGTTTTCGGGCCACTTCACCATTACCTACTTTATCATTCTTTAAAGTATTGATAGCATCAACCATTTCCTTGAATTCTTCTCTTGTCAATTGTCTACACTCTCGTCGAATTCGTTTTGTTGGGTGCCAAAAGAAGTCTTGTCGGACTCTCAGTTGTATGTCATGTTCCTTGTCAGGTATCCAACCTGGGTTGTCAAATTTTGATAGTATGCACTTGTATTCTTTTTCGGCATCCTGATCTCTGCACTCCAATATGATACCTGGATACTGGGACGTTATTACCTCAGAGACAGTTAGAAATCCCGAATCGCATAGTAGAACTACCAATATTACCAGTGCATGCTTCATTATTGCCTGTAAATCAAAGGACATGTTTTCCTATAATTACCCTTTGATAAATAATAGTGTGATATATTTCCAATTTTTTAAACATTTTTTTTTTTAATATTTTTTCTTTATTTCGGGGTAGGGTAGGGGGTTTGAACCACAATTCGATTATTAAAAGTTGAAAACAAAGCTACAGCATTTCTTTTGATTTTGGTGAATCGACAGGTTGTACATTTGTATGCGAGGCATGGTTTCTTCTTCTTGTCTTTCATTTCAACAGGTTACGTACTCTAAACTCACTGTCAAGAAATTTTAAGTATTTTTTTAAACGGTATTCTTTGTTATTGATTTGCTTGTACATTTGGTTTTGTTATGTATTACAGTAATACATGAATGTTAAATTTATATAATTCCTGATTTATATTGTACGTTTTTATGTATATTTTGTTATCAAGACCAAAACGAATATGATTTAGATCTCATATTTAAAAAAAAACACTTTAAAATCACTGCAAGTTTAAATACAATCTTATCTAGAATACCAGGCTTAAAATATATGTCTGTCACAAATTAGGAATCTCTGCAGTGGTTATCTTTTTATAGGTTGTCGTAAATTTTGGCATTGGTTGAATTTGCTATGTAGTACTCTCTTAAATTCATTCACATTTTTTTAGTTTTGCTTTGCATGTTTTTGTTAGTTTTTATGTCTTTGTTGTCAAATAGGCGTTTTCCCATTTCTCAATTGAAACACATCTTCAATCAGATTCATACATGTATGTATATATATATATATATATAACTGCCATTATCTTCGGTACCAACAGCTATGTATTTTCTTTTCCGGGTAAACCAGAAGAAATGGTTCGTAAGAGAGCAAAAATACTAGTACTTAAACCTGCAACCAGTGTTAAAAATAAATTTTATTCTAAAATTGATATATAAATAAGGGAGTAATGAGAAAACGTTGAAACGTAATTGGTGTCACAAATGTTACCTACGGTAGGTCTTTCATTTGATTAATGACACCCTGGTCTTTTTAATGGCCACGTGATAAAGTATTGAATAGATGGATGAATTCTGGTTAAATATGATGGATAAATGATTTTTAATCTTCCATCAGATGGGGAAATTATCATAAAAATGCAGATTAAAGATCACTGAAACGTTTATTGTTTATTGTATGCGCATTTGATCACATAATTTGTTAACTTATGCCATTGTTTAACATATCTCTGAACGTTAAGCAAGCAACAATCAATCAATTGTTTAATATTATTCATTTTGTGTCTTTTTATGTAGTAATGTTACACTACTGTCTCAGGTTAGGTTGAAGATTGGCGCCTGTTAAAACGTTTAAAACCCGCTGCATTTGTATGCATCTGTCCTAAGTCAAGAGCCTGTTGTTCAGTAGTTGTCGTTTGTTGGTGTGGTTCATAAGTGTTTCTCGTTTCTTATATAGATTAGACCGTTGGTTTTCCTGTTTGAATTGTTTTACACTAGTCATTTTGGGGCCCTTTATAGCTTGCTGTTCGATGGGTTCATCGTTCAGTGTGAGCCAAGGCTCCGTGTTGAAGGCCGTACTTTGACCTATAATTGTTTACTTTTTACACATTGTGATGGAGAGTTGTCTCATTGGCACTCATACCACATCTTCTTATTTATATGTATCTTTACTAGTGCTTTAGATTTGTACTTGCTATATTAACTCTCATATTCCCGATTAACTTCCAGCAAAGTTATATTGTTCAAATATTAAAATCAGAGATCCTGCATTTGTGGTGATAGAGACATAGTAAATGCACATGTCTAACATACTAAGTTATGGGTTAGGTCTTTAGATACACGTCTCCTGTACATAGATGTATTTACCAAACCGTTTGTGAATAGACTACCAATTCTTTAAATGTGAAACTTAGTAATACATTTGTTGTACCAAAAGTAACTTCAAACGTGTCTGATTGGACTGGTATCTGCATTTTAGGGTATTTAAAAAAGACAAAATGTATGACTGAACTGTTAAATTACAATGTAACATGACCTACAATAACTGAAAGCAAATGTCAAACTATGCACGATCGATGCAAAAGACCTTGTAAAAATCACCTGTTGTAACATGTACATGTAATAAACAAGGCGGTATGGGTTTTGATCATTGTCGAATGTCGCGCGGTGACCTATAGTTGCTAACGTCTACGTCATTTAGTCCTTGGTGGCGAGTTGTCTCAATGGCAATCACTGTATATACATTTGTACCACATCTTCGTCTTATTATACATTCAATCAATAAACATGTAAGTGTGTTTTTAAAAGCTCCATTTGTAAACGACTTTTTTAACTGAAGAACTAAGAGAAACGAAAGAATATGCTTATGAAATGGGGCGGACAAAAAGAAACGTTTTTAGACTTGCTTTTTAAATTAGTTTTTTATTCACAAAGTTGCACTTGTCATTTCAATCAATCAAATAGTTGTTTTTTCATGCTGACGATTTTAATAGCTTTTAAATAATGTAAAAACATGTAAGATTAGTGTAAAGCAAGATGTATACGCAAGTGATTTGCATAATGAAGAAGTATGCAGAGAAATATCGCTTATTTCTACTGTATTTGAAAACAACAAATGCTTTTTCACCTCCGATTTCACGTTATGACGCCAAATGGGGTTTAAAATGATTGGTCTAGAGAAGCGGAACTTCCTAGTAAAATACATGTAGATACTATATCGATCGATATCATTTTACTTACAGTTTACATGTTACAGTAAATAATAAATAAATCAAAGATTCTCGAAGGTAAACTAGCTGAATGAGGGTCTGTACGGGGTTTAATGAATAGAGAATAATAGGAAAAAAGTGCCGAATGAATGGCTACAAAAATAAAGAATAGAGGCAAAAACAAATAAAAAATAGAAAACAATTGGGTACTAAAATATAAATAGAGAAAAATGGGCAAAATATATAAAGAATAGAGAAAAATGGCTAAAAAATTTAAAGAATACAGAATTGAAGGGACCCCCCCCCCCTTTTCCACAATCTAGACCCACCTGAATTTCTAGTTCATAATAAAATAAGGGAATCTTTTTGATTCCACCATATTTTCAAAGACTTCTTAAATAATATAACATAGCATTGCTTCCATTACGTGATAAACATGTCCATTTAATAAAAAAAAACATTATCTCAAAAGAGACATTATTAAACCAGGCTTCAGACAAAAATCTTGTGTTGACCAAAATAATGCTCGTCTGCCGTAACAAATTATAAGCTTAGTATCTTTATTTTTTTTTATTTTTTTTTTTTAGACTTCGTAGTGAAAGTGTCTTGCCGATTGATTTATATATCTTTTTTTAAAAAAAGGAAGTTGGTTTGATAGCTAATGTGACAACACTATCCACCAGAGACCAAATGACGTAGACGAGAGCAATTATATGTCACCGTTCAGCCGTCAACAACGAGCAAAATCCTTACCGTATAGTAAGCTACAAAAGGCCCTGACATGACCATTGTTATTTGTGTAACGTCCAGTGACAAATAGTTCATGCGTATTCAGGATGAAAAGAAATTTTTCAAAGTGGTTAACCTTTCAGAACCTTTTCATTTTATTAGTTATTAAACTATACGGGATGAAGAAAGGAAACCTTGGACTGCGAAAAAAAAAGAAATTATAATTGATGGGGCATATATTTTGCCTTTCAAAAGGCCACATGTGGAACCATCAGAGTTGCTTCAAGGGTTTTTAAATGTGCAAATCGAGAGCGTGACACTCGTTCTACACCGTGGGACACCAGATTTAACGTCCTTATTCCAACCGGACGTAGCTGTGTATTTAAACACCCCGCACATTCAAACGGACATGACACTTTAACAATGATTGACTACCGGATAGGAGGAGTCAAAGGGATTGCCATATTTCTATACCCAAGTCAACCCTTTTTATTTTGTAGGTTGTAGAATGCAAGCTAACCCTTCTTAATTTCATTATAATTATACTAGTTATCAATAATCATCACTTCTTCACCATGCAGATTCACCCAGCTCACTCAACACCCCGGGTTTCTTTTTGTTTTGGGGGTGGGAGTTGTTCATTTTGTAGCTTTCCGTGAAGAGTTTATTTACCTGTTAAAAAGATATTGAAAGTCTCTGTCTATCCACGTTCAAACAGGGGCCGTCAAGACCTGTTGGCACTATCAAAGTTTTCCCTCAAAATCTGGGTAAAAAAACATTGACCGAGAAAAATAAGTCAAAGCCATCTTTTCTCACTGCTAATTTTTTTCTTGATATTTATCAAATAAATGGCAGGAAAACAAAGATTACAAAGAATAAAGTGGTTCAAAAATATTTTTACAAAATAACAACATTACTCTTTTACTATTATCTACTCTGTAATTTGCCACTTTGAAAAGTCATAACAGAAATCATACATGTTTTAATTGTGACCGATGAATCTCTATAAACTTTTTTGTCCTTAACCAATTTAATTTATTTATGAGACTGTGGATGGGGGTTTACAGAATAGAAAATAATGGACAAAAAAAATAAAGAATAGAGAATAATGGACCAAAAAATATAAAATAGAGAATAATGAGGTGCTAAAATATAAAGAATAGAGAATAATGGGCAATAAGTATAAAGAATAGAAAAAAATACCTATTTATTATTATTATGTTAAGGGGGTGACCATTTAGTATTCTGGGGAGGGGACAGTCAGGAGGATTTTTCCGTACTGATCATTTATTTTCATATGTTACAATCCATGCGTTAGTTTTCTCGTTTGTATTGCTTTACTTTTATCATTTTGGGACTTTTTATTTGAATTCATTGTTCGGAAAGCTGTATTGAAGTTTCATAATTTTAAAGAGGCATACCTAGAAATAAACAAACTTCACATGTTACTCATATCCTATACTTTTTGAAGCGGCTTACAATAATATCAATATATATACAATATTGGGTCAATGTCAGAAAAATATATTAAACTTTTTTGTATGAGGCTGAAAAACTGGGGAAGGACGAGGTTTTATCGAGCCCCTC